GCGCTGTGTTCCCGTTCGGAACCGTTACCGGAACCGGCACCGGCACCGGCACCGGGAGTCTGTCGCCAAATCCGTGGCACGTCAAGGAGGCAAATACGGGTCGAAACTTTGCATGCAATGGCCGCGGTGTCATTCGACGCCACGTGCCTGTCAAACGGTACGCGTCAGCCGAAATGGTCAGCAATGGTGAGAAACCTGGTGCTAATCCTCACATGTCCAAACTGTTGCGGCGCAGTCTGCAGAGCTCGCTTTCGGACAACGTGGCTGCCACTCTCAGTCCCAGAATGAACTCCACCGAGATGACGAACTCGTCCCTTTCCGCTGCGTCACTCGAAGCTCGTTGTAAACGGCAGCGCAGTCTTGGCAACGAACAGGGTGCTGAATTTCAGCTGCAACCTTTAGACTTGTCGATGAGATCGTCAGCTCGAGCTCGGTCTCACATGAAGGTGGAGGAATCGTTCAGTTGTCCGTGACTTTATCCACCCGGCCCTCACAGTTATTACATGAATTGATATTTCTGGCTGATAATGTACTTCTTATTGTTCATGAAATGTTCATTCCATGTTTGTATAAAGTAAAAAATTGCTGGCATTTGTTTGGTTGTAAAAAATTATTGTTTTTATGAATATTCATATCTGATCCGTGGGCTCGACGCGACACGGTCTCCAAGTTTTTTGAACGACCGGGTTTCGTTTCTTTTATGAAGTCAGGCTGATAAGCATCGCTTGCCATTTTTAAATAACTGACGAAAGACTGAATTATTGGCGTCGTAAACAACTTAATGGTACACAATTTGTGCACCATCGTACTTCACAAGCAAAACGTCTGAATTTACTTGTTAAACGATGGAAACTGTTTATGCTCGTTACAAATTTTCCTGAACAAAACATTTGGTCCCTCCATTTCAGTCGAAAAACGATAGCGAGCCAATGATATGCAAACATTCGAGGTGTGCTACCGTGAGGCAAATTAAGGCATGTGCTCTTTATACGCGCCTGGAACCCGTCTAGGAGGCGCCATCACTCATATGCTGCGTTTGACGGTAGCTTCAATATACATTTCTACAAATACAGTGGCCATGTAAACTTTGTGCCGAAAATGCTCAGATGAATGGTTACAATGGTCTTGTCGAAGCAGGCATTTTTATGATATCTCATATTCATCTTTAAGTGTTTCATACTAACATTTCTCTCTCATAGTCGATAATATAAAGATTTCTGAAAATGATACATGTACTGCACACTGCGTACTATGCAGCCCCATTTCTGCCAATTGCCTCTGGGGCACTTAAGCAGGCCACGGCATCATGATATGTGAGTGTCTTTAATCTCAGACGCATGTCACATTGTTTTGTTCTGCTGGAGTCACCTTGCGCTCATGCAAACAATTTTTCAAGAGCTGGTAGCCCGAATACGCTACTGCATTAACATCAGAATATGTTCAAAGTGCCTGAGCATGTCAAATAAATTATAACTCCTCCAAGAACGGATCTCACCATGTCTGGATATTGCAATTCCTCGAATTTCTTCGTCATTACCAAACCAACCTCCCAACGATGATATTTTCTCTCTTCATGTCCTGATTCAATCCGTCAAATATTTTCTCAATCCTTTCGTGTCATCTTCAGAAGTCCTCATCGTCGGTTCGAAAGATAGACGACATCGTCGAAAGATTTTTCTGTACTTTCGTTGACGATTAATGCTTACGCGACTACCTCGCTATGCTTGATTTTATGTTAGTTAAGTATCCTTTATCCAGTTCTTTTTGGAGTATTGCCGACTCTTTGGCAAAGGCCGATGACGTCGTCCGATGAGAGGCAGACGGATGAGCCGTATATATCGATGATGACCAGAAGATGCACTTTAAAAATCAATTTTAATGGCATAAATCATCATTTTATAATCCGTCCAGTGAAATAACTGCCTCACCTATTACCCGATGATAAAATCTGCACTTTGACCATTCTTCAATATTCAGTTCTTAATGAACTGCAATCCTTCACTTCATATATGTTCTGTGCATTACAACGTACAAGAAAGCAGATATGATGCTCAGGATGAAACGCTGATCACAAAATGATTTTGACATCCTCACAATTTTCCAGTTAACGTCATCAGAGTATAAGTAAAAATTCAAATGTACCAAGTTTTCATACTTAAACGACCTGTATTCAGCTTGCCGATCAATATACACATTTGTAACCAGAGAGAACATTCTGATAACCAATGGCACGTGATGTTTAATTATACGACATTGTTTCTCTTTCGACGAAAGGGCTTTATCCTGGCACAAAGCAAACATAAACAGAAACTCTGCAACGCTTCACCTGTCAATAAATTGTATGAGGCAGAATTTCACTTATGAAGCCACATCAGTATGAGGCTGTCAAATTTTGGACGCAAACTGTCACCATGTACGACTGAGAAAGCTGAACTCTGAACCAGTGGTATTACGCAGGACTGTAAAGACTCGGATTAAAGGACCGCAGAGCTAAAGCCAAAGAATGGCAAATTTAAATTTCTTGCTGACTCAATCAATGAATATCGCCAACTACATCAACAGTAGGCACTGTTTACTCTTAAAAATAGATCAAGCGTAACGTACATCTATTTTGAGCATTTCTGAGGCTCATGCCCTTGACTTCGACCGTCTGGGTAATGGTGGTAGGTTGCTGATATCTCACTTCTCATATTTATTCCTTGTTATGCGTGATTGTCATATTAACTTCTGAGTACTCAATTTCCGTTTTGAGGGAGAAGATCTGTTCAAAACATTTCCTTATACTTCCTCGATGATAGCAATTTTCTCTAAGCCTGAGGTTAGAAAAAATATTTTAATATGTAGGTTTGGTTTAATGAAAGAAATAAGCTTACTTGTCATAAGAAATATTGACTTCAGCCAGCCGCCAGCCATCTTCTGAGTGGAGCTAAAGATTGGAGGCATAAAACAAATGCGTCCAGAGTTAAGTAATGCGCGTAATCGATACTCATAATTATTTAGAAGTGACAGAAAATATGCTGCATTAATTGTTGATTTACTTCGATCTGCAAGCTCAAGCTACACTGGCACTGAAATGCTTGCATAGAACAGGTTTTGACATTTCACGGCAGTGTACCTTCAGTCTCTATGGGGATATGCAAACCCCCTCGATGTATCAGTGTCATTCCAAGAGATGCGTGACTGTGAGTGCACGAGTTGCAGCAGCCCGCCGAGGGGGTGCACCGTGGTGAGTGTCCATCCGATCAACCGCTTGGAGATTGGCCTGCGTGTAGTGAAACCATGCACCAGCAGATTATGCAAGTTCATTTTTTTAACCATGAACAAAAACAGGTGACTCGAGAAAAATCCATGATGAAAGTCTCTTTCAACGGCATACTGGTTTTACCTCACCTGTTCTTCGAGTGCCAGAGCTAATCATTTTCAACACCAGCGCGTTTCGCACCGGCTGGCTTCCCTCCAACTGTCCTCACAGCTAGTCCTCAAGGGTATGACCGTTAGCAATGCTTACGTGGTCTGCAGCAGAAAAATCAAGAAATTCAGATTAAATTTACGACTGCATTTTGTGTCCGCGATTTCACCTCCTTGAGGAGAGAACAGTACCTGCCATTGTCTGAATACTCCACCAATTCATGTCCAGGAAAGAGGATTTCTGTCGTTCTTCACATATAATATAAGATTCGATTTTTCCTACAATGTCTTATCCTTCTAATGTTTCCATCACGCACTGCCACTTCCGTTAAATGTCATTGCTATAAGACGTATTTAGCACGTGATCAAGAATGACCTAAATTGCACAGTGATGGCATGCACAGATGATAGAAACACTGGATGCCATTTCGACTCAACCACGTCGGATATCTCTGAGCCCAGAAATCCAGCTGTGTGATATTCGTCTAGTTTTCGATGATGCCAAAAAGCGAAATGCTATGAATAATTGCATCTTTGGTATCCAACGCTATGGATAATGTTTCCAGGGGATTGATTATGCCTTCAGGATTCCAAAAGCCATCCCATGAGATCGTAATATCGTAAAAATTAATTATCGGCCTCTTTGTTTCGCTCCGCATTATCCATCGAATTCGTTCAAGATCGATACCGTCATAATATTGGGAGTAAACATAATCAGTAAACAGCCCGTCTTTAGTCCTTCTTAATTCTTTCCGTAACAATGATTATCCGATTTGTCCCCAGCTCCAATTTTCGATTTATTATACGTTTTCCTGCTTTCTTCTCGGCACTGCTCCACGTTCAATCCCTGCAGTAATGTTCATATAAGGAACACACATTTGGGAGTAAATTCTGAGCAACAGTTGTTCGCCGAAACAACGTTTTCTTGAGTATCAAGCAGTACTGACTGTCTCGGTTGTATGCATGAGAATAATGGGTGAATAAGTGTATACGCACAAATATAATAAATCCTTAATAATAAGCTAAATCAATTTCTCGAAGAAGTATTCCTGACGTAATTGCTTATAATTCACCAAACTGATTCGAAACCGTATCAAGAAGTTGATGGACGAATCTTTCCTGAGGAAACTTTGTCTCCTGACATTCTAGAGCAAAGGCGATAAGGTATGATATGCTGGATTTTCGATGCGAAACACAAGCATCATAACCTGCTGTTTTACTGGACGGTTTCCTGCTTGCAAATAAATTTGCAAGGATGCAGATGTTGCACATAATCAGTAAATCCATGTTGATCTTCTAGTGTGTCATTTGATCGTTGCCGAGATCCTCTGTAACTGCGATGTTTCAAAGCCAAAGTTATCGTTGAAGCCAACTTGACCGTGTGAAACATGATTCTTTTTTCGTCTTTTCCTTCCTCGGTTTCGTCAACAGGATGAATTTACTCATTTATTCCAATGACGTCAAAGTAACTTCTGTGAAGAACAGTGAGAATGAGTTGCAGAAGCAGAAGAAGTAGTAGAGAATGGAATCAATCAGGTGGAGAGACAAATGAAACCGAAATGAAAGAAGCCGATCTACGATCAAAATATTGTGATATGGATGTTAATCATGGATATTAAGTATGAAAGAGGCTTTTGAATTGAAGGATGCATGCAACTTGGTCAGGCATTTGTTGGGCATAACAAGATGACCGCATGGACCAGAGAGATGCCATATCATCGCAAGATCAAAGAAGCTGAAATTACAGACGGCAGAATCATTTGCAAGAAGAATAGACCATCGCTGGCCACTGAACATTTAATAGCAAATTAAGCTGGTTCCAAAAAAGTAAGCAGCCAGTGGGTAGACCTTCAAGTTGTTGTCACGATTGGCTGAAGAGTTTCACTGGATCAAGATAAAAAAGAATCACGGAGGGAGACTATGTGGTAAAGGCTTGAAGGATGAAGCCGTCATCCAGCAGTACATCAAGAAAAGCTGAATACGAAAATTAGTTGTCTGATTCATAAGAGAGTGAGCTTGCCACTACGCATAATATTATTTCCAATATATTAATATATTTCTTTAATCAATGCCAGATACCAGCAGTACATGCGTCAAGGTTGCATTTGTACTGAATTTGCTACGTCATTAATGAAACAATAATTTTGAAAGCATTATTCTGCAGAAGTTCTGAGTAGCCCAACTGTTCCGCTGAAAGTAAATTAATTGTGACCACTGCACGTTTTCTTCACTCATTTATAATTCACGTTTAGTCGTTTGTTACAAGCATGCTAGGAGAAGCATGCATTGAGGTTCACAAAAGTGACAGAGAATGGCGGAAGATAAAAAAGGATTGTTA